ATATATATATATATATATATATATATATATATATATTTTAAAAAAATTCTTAATAAAAAAGAAAAAAATATATATTTACAAAGAAGTATTGTGCGGACTGGCCCAACCCGATCTATACCAAAATCTATAGGTCGGGCTCAGGCTTACGGGTGAGACCGGTCCGAAACTCGCTTTTGGCCCATAAATTTCCGGGCTCGGCTAGCCCGACGCGATGAACAAACGGGTTTTGATTTTGAAAATCTAAGTCCATAAATTTTAGGGGGGGATTGGAGTCGGGTATCAAGTTTCGGACTTTTTTGACAGCCTTGCGTTTATCCCAACAACATGTTCACGGTTGCTTGCATGATGTGCAAATGCCATTTCCTTTTCACCGTCCGTGTGTGTTACATATTCCCACCCACATATACGTGTGTGTGTGTGTCACTTGAGCTTACATAGTTTTAAAAGCAAAGGAAAATAATTGGCTGAGAGTACCTAAACGTGGGGAGGGATATTCATCTGGGGCTTCTCCGTTCCTCTGGAAAATATAGTCAGACCAAAGATCCGGTAAACTTCTGGAGTATAAAAAAAAAAACATATATCCCAAAACATTATGTAAAAGAGCTGTAACAGTACAAATTATCTCAAATTCTTCTCTTTTTTTATCCAATGGAAACTGGACATTGCATTTAATGTTTTGACTTGCAAGATACGAATTATTCGAAGTTGACTTATGCCCATTCAGCCACTGGGTTTTTTGTGGCCTTTATTTAGTGAAACTCGTCAGAAATGGTACCAGTGTTTGACAATAAAGTCGGAGTTGTCGTTTGGAATCGCATCGCGTAGAAAAAACTAATGGAGCGTATGGTTTGAAGTTTGGTACAAATTAGGCAAATCGACAGACCTATCACTATCTCCGCTTAGTCGAGTCATGGAGGACTTTTGACTCTCTAACCTCGCGATCACATACTTCTTCGTATATCTTTTTTTTGTCAACGGAGAGGTTCACCGGGCTTTCGCCCCACTTACATCTCTAAGATCCGGGGTAGTCTTTAAGCATTTTATTGCATCCCCTCAACATACGGAATCGAATGGTATACCTTCAAAACACATTTGGCGCTGAGAAAGCCACTCGACCACGTCAGAGATGGGTATTTCTTCATATATCTCATTCTCTCTCTCTTTTTTTTACATGAATTCATTCGTGTCCGGCGACACAGAGAAAATGAATAAAAAGAAAAGCACTTCGGGATACATACACAAAAATATCCCCCGCCGAAAGCGATGAGAAAAAAAAAGCTACGGGTAATGTCGAAGACGCTCAATTGTTTATTTCTCCACAATACTATGCTCCCGAGTCCCAACAAACCAGAAGTAGTTCAACTCTCTCTTTATTCTTATGCCAATGCTGCGCGGCCAAAATCAAGACAAGTCTTAATATATATTCCAAAACCAGGAGTGGCAAAGTGTGTAATCATCTCTTTTTTTTTGGGTGAGTGGCCAACAAATAACATTGCCATTCATTGCAATCGTGTGAGCTGGTCGAGGCATATGAGTCAGCCAAGCACCTGGAATGTAACCTATCAATATCATTAGTCCCACCTCATTTTGCCTCAAATGGGCCAGCCTTCCATCATCACTACCTATGTTGGTTTAGGCAGATTCCAGGTAAAGATTATATATATATCTTTTTGGTTTAATTATATATATATATCTACACACACATATATGTATTTATATAATGCCATTTCCTCATTAGATAAACAGCAACTCTTTTCTAACTCCTTTTTTTCCTCCATTATCTTCAGCCGTTGGTGTAACATTGATGACTTGGAATACATGTACGGACTTTGGAAGTATTCAGTGACATATATAGTTTATATCTAAAAGGCAAACTCATTAAGTTCCCGGGGACACACGTCGTGTAAAGCACCTGTGGACGTATGTGCGATCGGACTGGGAGAGGGACCACTGTCGTTAAACATTTGAAAACTCGATGGTTTGTAGTTTCTTATTTGTCGTTTTCGGGCAGGCATTTAGTGCTCCTCCGCGCTTATATTAACACCGAGACTCAGCATGCTTCTAAACTTACCACAAACATCTACATGAATATTTCATTGACCGTTGTTCTTACAAGTTCACTACCTTTTCTAATATGGTACAGGAGGAGATATCAGGAGTAACAATCCGTGAGCAGTTGAGGGAGAAAATGTGAGAGAAAGTGTGGAAAAATTTTCTGTTATTTTTCTATACCGTAACTTTCAATACAACCGAGCTTAAATATGACTCTGTCTATACACGCACCTATACATACACGCCTATAAAGTTATGTCTTTTATATATGTGATAACCCTCTTCAAATCTATAATTTTCATCAGTAAAATATAGATTCGAAATAGATAAACGACCAAACATCATAAAAAATACCGCAGGTTGCAACTGATTTTGTCAAAAAATCTGCCAACTGACTGTCAAATTTCACATGCATCAACTTGATCAAACCTGTCTGAGCTTTTTCTCGAATCAGATGGCAATCCAATTCGATATGTTTGGTTCTCTCATGAAAAACGACATTTGAAGCTAGATGCAAAACCGATTTATTGTCACAGATAATGTTTATGGGCAATGGCACTTCAATCTCCAGATCTTTCAACACATTCACAAACCAAGTAATCTCGCAAGATGTATTTGCTAATACTTTGTACTAGGGGTGGGCGTTTCGGGAAACGGTTTGGGTTTGGGACGGAATAGATCGGTTCGGTTTTTTCGGTTTTACAAAAATAGGTACCAATCGGGTTTTTTATTGTATTCGGTTACGGTTCGGTTTCGGTATCGGTTCGGTTCCAGGTTTTATAAAAAAAGTGATAGATTTCCTTTAAAAATATTCGGTTTTTAGGGATTTTTAAAGTTTGTTTCGGTTCCGAAAAAATTCGGTTCTCTAAAAATGTTACCATTCGGGAAATAACAGCGGTTTCGGGTCGGTCCGGTCCCAAAGAACCGAACATAAACGCTCAGCCCTACTTCGTACTCAGTCTCTGTACTGCTTCTAGAAATGGTATTTTGTTTCTTCGACTTCCAAGATATTAGAGATTTACTGAGGAAGATACAAAATCTCGTCACTGATCGTCGTGTGTCTGGGCAAGTTGCCCAGTCGGCATCGGCAAAGGCGTGTCGCTTCAAATCTGAAACGAACTACCATGTTCGCAGCCTGTAAATGTTTGTCAGCAGGTGAAGACAAAAATTGACTAACTTATAAACAGAGTGTAATATCAGATCTTGTAATCGTCAAGTACAACAACTTGTCGACCAAAGCCCTGTAAGAAGTTTGATCCTCCAATCAAGTACCAGAATCCTGACTCAAATGCAAATTTGGATACATTGGAATAGGAACTGGTTCGCATCCAGTTAACCCAGTTTCGGACAACAAATCCTAGCAGTATTTCCTCTGGCAAATAGAAATTCCCTGAGATGTTCGAGCAATTTCCAATCCCATAAAGTATTTGAGTTGACCTATGTCCTTGATGTTAAAATGATTCTCCAATAACAACTTCAAAGAAGGCACAACATCATTGCCGTTCCTCGCGATGACAATGTCATCTGAGTCCTTTGTATATGTGATAGGAGATGCCATGTCAATGGCAGTACATGGATTTAGAGACTGCCGTAGATCATCAAGAACAAATCTTCATTTATTATTTTTTCTTCTCCCATCCCATGGAACCTAACAAATGTCAAGCAAGATAGTTGACCTCCTATAAAATTTGAAACCAGCCACATTTTTTGGTTGTCTGGTAGTAGGCTTCATCAAGCCAAGATCGCAATCCACGGGAGACAAACAGACAACACGTTCTCGTGGAGGTTACGACACCGGGGTTTTTTTTCAAGTGTGATTTACTACTGTCTTGTAAAGACTCGAACTAAAAAGGAAACGAATTTCGGTCCAGGGAATGAATTCATGACTTGAGCTCTGCCAGTCTCAAGGATAACCCATATAGACATCGTCAGGGATACAACACGTTCCGTCGAATGGTAAAATCAAGAAGGATATCCTCTCCGAGCATTGGAGACTAAACTAGGGGCTCTTCAAGGAATTACAAAATCTGGGAAGAAAATCACTCCTTCCCTTTTCTTATCCTTGTCCTATAAATCCAGCGACCAAGTTGCCCAAAGAATAAGATTACAGACTCAAAAGAATGTGTGATGTGCGCCCTCTTCTCCTAGCAACCCTTCACTTGCACTGGTTCGCCTGTGAATTCCAATCGTCAAGAAGATTTGTTATGGTCTCCTCTAGTTTTTTCGCCTGAGGTCCAGGCTTCACTACGTTGACATTGTCCCACTGCGAGCAAGAGTCTGTCCACCAGCTGCCGTGCCTTGAGCACCAAGCTCCTGGAGTAACCCGGTAACGCCCACGCTTCAGGATCTCTCTGTCAATCATGTCAAGCACTGGATCATCTTGCTGGAACTGTCTTGCGAACGCTGACCCACTTTGAGCCATTTGCTCATAATCTGAGACATTGAGGAAATGGGGCTCCATCTTCGGTGGGCTGTCCCATATCATGTACCGTAAGTCACCATTAATTGCCGAGTTTCTGAACTCTGGTGCATTGCAGATTACGGTGTGGAAGTAGCATTCCTCTGACAGAACAACGTTGTTAAAATACATAAGGAGGATTCGGGGTAAGTTGTCCCAACCGAAGATGCAGTATTCTAGGAAAGATCTGCTCAGCACAATCCAAGGTGAGCCTGCACAACATAACCAGCCAATTGTTTTCAATTTCGGTAGAAAGCATTGAGCACATGGATGCAGTAACAGAACTAAAGTTACTGAATCTTTGCCTGTAAAAACTTTGAAGGCATCAGGTGTTGGCCGTTTCTCTGTAGCAGTGAAGAGCTGAGTTCTTCTGGCCAAGTAAAGAGCTGGGTCGACAACAATAGGCTGGATTCTTTGAGATCTGAAAACAAACCCGTTAGCATTCAGCCTACTCAACCATTTTAGGAACAAAAGACCACAAACAGTATTTACTTACTCTTTCCACCCAAGGTCACTGGTGTGATCAATGAAACTGAGGTTTCGGTTTACCGAGGAGAACACATGGGATAAGTCTGAAAGCAATCATGAGTCAAAAATGTTAATGACAAACAGAAATGACAACAAAGAAAATGGTGGAATATCAGCTAAGATGACTGGGTACTGGCAGCAAGTACATCAGCTCAGGTATTCATGAAAGAGATTGAGGGCAGAGGATCCTCAAACAATCTTCAACATACATATTTTCATTTGGATCACATGTCACATGGCTATTTTGGTCATAAAATCTGACTCGAGAGTGGAGCGTGGGATGCTGCAATCTCAAGCAGCTAATCATCGGACCTAAAAGCATAAAACATCATAATACAAGCAGAACAAACTCGTGGATGATGATCTTAATTCACAGATGCAGTGGAATCATGATCAAGAAGGCAAGTAGATCAATAACCAAGTAACGCGTGATGAGTCGAGACATGTAGAGTAGGATTTCAAGCAATTCTAAGGAGAGAGAGTGGTTATTACCGTCTTGAGTAAGGAGGGGATAATCGAAGGCGCTCAATTGGATGAACCAATTCCAAGAGGGATCGAGCTTGAGGAGGATGGAGACAGCGTGAAGGGTGGAAGCAGTGTGAGAACCGCCCATGTGAGAGAGACGATCTGCCTTCCCCAACACATCGACATTCCCAAAGGCATTCACAGCAGCCACGGATTTCAAGTCGGTCACGAGTGTAAGCCTCTCGTCGTCGGTGGCATCGGCGCTCAGATGCAGAAGATAGCGATTCCTGGGGTGATAAACAGCGAGCAGCAAGCGAAATATCCTGTCCTTGTCTCCACGACCACCGGTGATGTAGTAGGCGAAGGAGGGTGGGTAATGAGCCCCGTGACGGATTGCGGAAGGGAAGGGCTTAGCAGAACTGAAGGCAGAGATTGAGTAGAGCAAGAGCAGTAACACCGACACAAATACAACGGAGAAGAGAGTGAAAAGCCATTTCTTCTCAGCTCCCATGCTGCTCCCTTCCTCCTTAAATCTGGTTCCGATTCAGCATACCAAATCAACTGTTGGGAGCTGAGTATGGTGCAGATCGGACATAGATCCACCGGATCCGATGAGATCTCAGTCACGGTAAGGTTAGGGTTTGAGATGTCGTGGTGATGAAGACGATGGATTGGATTCTCAGATATCAATATTCCCATCTCCGTTGGGCCTGGTTTATTCCGAATTTTAAACGGTAATTATCAAAAATATCCTTAATCCACCTTATCTAACTATGACCAAATATAGTATGAATATAGTATGTATAATCACATGTTTTAATCAAATAATTAGTAAGATATACAAGATATAAACATAATAAATCAGTGAGATCACCATAAATTTAATGTTATAATTGATAAAATCAATATGTGATCACACTGTACTTGGATCACATAGATCACATGATCACTGTTGGAGAATGATATATGTTGAAGTAGAAATAGCAAAATAAAAATATTTTTGATATAATGCTATTTTAAACGAATCATTATCAAAAATACCATTACTTTGCTATTCTTACTTCAACACATACTATTTTCCAATTGTGATTATGTGACCTATGTGACCTGAAATATAGTGTGATCACATGTTGATCTCATTCATCATAACATTAAATTTATGATGTTTTAATCAAATAATTAGTAAGATATACAAGGTATGAACATAATGAATTAGTAAGATCACTGTAAATTTAACGTTATAATCAATAAAATCAAAATGTAACCACACTATATTTTGAGTCACATGGGTCACATGGTCACAGTTACTAGAGAAGTGTATGTGTTGCAGTAAGAATAGCAAAGTAAGGATATTTTTGATATAATGTCATTTTAAAACGTGATCGGCAACTGGATCCCCCATCCCCTCCTCATGCGTATCATTCCCGCGCGTCATAATCTCGAGTGGAGGTGCGGTGCATCCTCGTCGCGTGTTTTGGTGCTAAATGAATCGAGAGAGGTGAGGAGATGTGATTATTGCACCACTCACTTGATTATGATTCTGAAATTTCATCCTTCGGTCTAGGATGGACAGATTATATAAGAAATAATGGTTAAATAACAAGATCAGTATAGTTTTTATGTCAACTAAATTATAGTTTAAGAGAAAATAGTGAATTAGATCGAATAAAAAGTAACAAAAACTAATACAAGGCAATGAAATGACAATAACACTTAGAGATCATTGTCGCCTATGATGTATATGGTAGTTTTCCACATATATGAATATAATGGTGATTCATATTCAATTAGTGAAATTCAACTTTTTAAAATTGAGGAAGACTTTTGATTACTTATTTCTATATCTAGATTATTTTAACTTATCATCTTCTGAATTTTTAGATAAAAGTCTAAATATATAATCTATTGCTATAATAATTCCTAAACTGGTTAACCTTCTCTCGAAAATATTAATCAAATCTATTATTTAAATCTATTATGAATTCAAATATCAAATACTTTGATAGATCTAACTCTAAAATCAATCATAAAGATGATCAAATGTTATGATTCCTATATCGAAAATTATCTAATTAGGCGATGAAATCAACCAAAATTTCAAAATCAACCCGTGATCTAAACTTAGGCTCAAATTCATTAGAAAACATCCTAAATCCCTACCAAACTAGTGGTAGAAATCTAGACTCAGACTTTTCCAAAGAACCGTTCTAAACTCGGTCAAACATCGATTAGAAACATCGGTATCACGAACACGCCACAACTCATCTATGAAACTAACGAGTTGATAAGTCGGTGAACATAACGAACAAATTCATTTTATTCGTTAGATTCATAAGTTCTAAAAAGAACCAAGATGTAAAACCTCAAACTCATTAAAAAGTGACATTAAAAAAAAACTCGTATATATCTTATTAATATGATTATTTTCCATTTTCATAGATTATAATATGATAGAAATGAAATAAAGAAGGTGAAATTAAAATTTCATATGGTAAAAAATAAATTCCAAAGTAATAAAAGTGAAGTTTGAAAGATCATTTTTCCTTAATTTTGACTAACTAATCATATTCTTCTCTTCCAAATTTTATTTGGACCTGATCAATGTTTGTTGTGGGTTGAGAAATTGATTCAATAAGAATCATATCATTTATTGGATCGAATTGATCAGAATTTAACTCATTAAGTATGTGATATTGAAATGACTGAATGAGAGGCTATACCTTCACCAAGAATTATGTACTTGGTAAACATTTAAAGTTTTGGATTTTAGTTTATGCATCTTCAAGTAACGCAGCAATCCGAGCCTCTGATCAAGAGTTATTGATGAAACAATACAACCTCCTCAATCTTTGTCCCATGACTGAACCGTTAGTTACATCCTCTCTCCATGTTTTTTTCTTTGAATCTCAACTTCTCTAGATCAAAACTATGGTGAGTTAGAAACTATTTTCAACTAGACTCGCGTCGTTTGGAGTTGAGAACACAAAGTAATAAGTAAATTTCTCTGCAATGTTCATCTGTGTGCATGAAACCAAGAATTCATGTCAATGTACAATCTATTTTTCTTTGTTTGCTTTGAGTTTCTTGATACACTCCCTGAGATCATATCACCAGATTAATGAAAACATTAGATTCAACTCATAAAACTGAATTGAAAATAGTACGAAGTATCATGGATGTATGCCAACAATCATAGAAGTAATGACCAAAATTTTGACAAATATAATATTAAATCATAGATGTATCATACCTTCTTCCATTGTTTATTCTAAATCTATGACCTCAGTCTCGACCTTGATCACCTCTTCCGCCACACCAGTACCATGTTGGGTTTTCTGGGATCTCTAGAGCGAATCCTATTCCTAAGAGATCGATTCTAGGGTTCGCGCAGTGGATGTAAAACAAAAATTTATAGAACCCTAGAACAATGGTTCTTATGAATCGTAGAAACGTTAGAACACTTACCTCAATCGATCCGGGGCCTGTATCAATTGAAGAACTCGTTCGATCACAAAAGGGAGGAGGAATACCTCGCTCTCTACACGTATCCACACCTCGGGATGGATTCCAACGGTTGGAACTTGTCTGCTAGGACCCGAATCTGCTATTCGGTTTTGCGCTTCGAGAAAACAAGACTTGGAACTCTTAGAACTCTTTGGATCTCCCCCAAAGCTCTCAAAGTTTTGTACCAGACGGTTGCCCAAATCTCTCCATTAATTAGGGTTTCAATCTCCTTCTTATAAGGTGATTTAACCCTAATTCGGTCTTATTTTCGAAAACCCGAAAGCCAGAACAGACGGTACAGAAATACACGTGGACCGTCCTTTCCAGCAATACAGAACGGACGGTCTGCGTCTAAACGTGGACCGTCGGGTCTGGACTTGGCGGACCGTCGGGTCTAGCCCTTTCGGTCTGTCTGTTCCAACCCCTTCCGTCTCGGTTTTTCGTCATTTTCTCGTGCGTTTTGTCCTTCCCTGCGTGTGTGACCCTGTAGGCTCATTCGATATAGCAGTATAACCCGAAATCTCTATTTCGGATATACAAGTCATAGGCGGTCTTTAGCAAGACACTATGACTACCTATCTCGAATAGAGTTTGTTCGTGATCTTATGAACGCCAGTGATGATTCCGGCTGATGATCCTTTTGTATCGCGATATCATATGTCGAATATAAGGCATGGACAAGCCACCTCATCTGATTCGACTGCTTTCTCGTTCACTGAGTTCGACTGTCTGAAATAGACGACGTTCGTCTATCGTGCGGCCACACATTTCTACAGTCTCGCTCACACGAGGGACCCAGCAATATCTCTCTCTTTTGCGAGAGGTACAAATCCCGTCTTGACTATCTACAATCCAGCACATGATTCGTTTTGTACCTGATACACGCCTTTATAGTCCTCCTGTTACGCATGACGTTTGACGTATTCAAAGCACGCAACTCCTCATGTTGGATTCCGTAGATATCTTAGGTCTTAGGATCCAATCATGGAACCGCCATATGAGATTCAAGTCATGACGCTAGTCTATGTGACAATCTCATGCGGGTCAACCCGATATTCCGTTCTCCAACGAATACCTATGATTGTGATCGTATCCAATAACTATGATCATCTCTATGATCATCAATCATACATCATACTAGTCTTATTATATCATTATTCCCACAATGATACACAACTAATGAGTTTAGTATTGTTCATAACAATATATGGATTTCATAACATATTAAAGCATGCACAATATGTAATGAATCAAACACTCATCCATAAATCATAGAAAGCGTCAATACATCAAATGTATCCAAGTAAAGCTCGCAAACAGTACATCATAGAACATTAAACCAACATACCATACTTAGTTCTTCTATTTTCTCCATCATCTACGATTGCCCGTCGGCACATGATAGTTTGGTCAATGACCACCTCGTCTGCAATAACTATCTCCTCCTCGTCATTGTTGATTATCTCCTCTCGAATTTTCGATCTTAAAAAAGAACTTCGTCTTTAGTGCATGCTCAACAAAATTTTCTTCTTCTTCTATTTGATTCAATCTGTTTTCAAATGTTTTCAAAGAGTTAATAGTTATTTCATCGTCATTGAATCTAAATTTTTGGATTCTTTAATTACGACTAGTACTGAATTAAATTTTGAGTCAAATGACTTCAAAAGTTTCTGTCCAACCCAAACATCTTTCAACTTTTTATCATCCGTCGCCATTGGGATAAACGACGATGGATAACCGTGAAATATAGTCTTGAGATCAACTATGAACTCTCTTGTTGCAAATCTTCGAATTGTTCTCGTAAAGAAATGCTCAACCCCACCTATTTTAATATGGTTGTTACATATGCAGAAAGGCAGAGAGATCTATTCTTCATTTCATCCCCACCTATTTTGTCGCGGGTAAAATCCCAGCGGAACTCAATTATACAATTGGGTCTTGGGCGATGGATCACTTATCTTAATGGGTATATGTGTTTGGGCCTTTACTAATCTTGTGAGCCTCATCTATCGTTATCTAATTCAGCTCGGTCTGTTTGATTTGGGCTTCTCTTAACCCCCGCCCAGAAACTATCTACGCGTACTATCATCAGGAGGCGAGTTGTATTCGCAGACGTCTTCTCATCGGGTTTCTTCCTCTTCGGCCGAAAGCCACCCAATTGATCATCTCGGCTCGGATTACTGAGAAGCAATGTCGGAAAAGGGGGGGAAAGGGTTCAAATCTTCTCTCAAGTCCACTCCTTCCAAACATGGTGTGGCATTCTTAGTTCCGTTTGATCACTTTTTCTCTCGAGATTGTTTTAGGGTTTTGCTCAGTTTTATGGCTTTTGTGTAGGATCGTCAGGAGGGAAGGACGACAATGCCAAGAGGGGAAAGAAAGTTCAGTTTGAACCCAAAGGTCTTAGTCTGCTTTCTCTCCGAATCATAGTCTCAACTTTCTCGTCCGTTCGGCTAAAGGTCTTATCTTCTGTTAACGTGTAGGCTCAACCGAACCTAGATATAAGGTTCTCAATGGATCCGATGACCATTTTCGGAGATTTGCTGCTAATGGTTCCGTTTTCTTCTCTTGATTGCTCTGTTGTATGCTTTACTTCGCATGCATTCTATCTGTTATGGTTATCTCTGACCCTTTCGGTACGAAAGGTGGAAAGGTGGACAAAGGTGGAAAGGCTGGCAAAACGTCTCTGCCACTCGAGCTCAAAGCCGACAAGGGTTTGTGCATCTGCCCTGTCAACTTCTTTGCTCGTGTTCTTTCTACTTGGTTAGCTTTTCTCTAACTAGGTGGTCGGTGTCATGGTCTCTGCTTCCCAGAGCTCCCAGAGAATGCCAAGTGCTTGATGGACTGTGAAGCTGCTCAAATATTAGAAGGCATCCAGGACCAGATGGTCGTGTTATCCGAAGATCCCACTATTAAAATACCTGTGTCAGTACCATCCTCTACATTGCATACTGTGCTCCACGCAGATTAGGGTCTCCATTTGTCTAACATATAGTTTATTTCGCAGATCATTCGACAGAGGATTGCAGTATGCTAAAAATGGTAGCTATTACACAAACCCTTTGTCCGTCAGACCCCTCCTTGAGTATCCTCTTTAACTGTTCTACCTCGGTTCATTTTTTGCGCTTACTGTGGAGAAATTGTCTGCCAAGTTAATATGATTTAGTGTTAAGCTTCTTTTTTCCCATCAATATTGTATCCCCATGCTCTATCCCATTCTCTCCGCAATTTGAGAAAAAAGATGGTGCTAATTTAAGGACTGGAATTCTATCTGGGAAGCATTGTCTTGTCTGTATCTTGTTTTAAAACTTAACGACTATGGATAGCAGGTGTCTGAAAAAGCATGGTGTCTCTGATGGTGAGGTAGTGAGCTCAACTGAAGCCCCTCTGTTTAGACAGATGATTAGCGCCTTCTGATTTTTGTTGTTACGTCACGTGCAGATGTGTGTGATTGCAAATGTCTGTCCGGAGAGTATGGATGAAGTGTTTGCTCTTGTTCCATCATTGAAGGTATGGCTTGGTGCTTCCAGAATCTGAGGCTTGCCTGTGAATCTCAATCTTACTGTTTATTCATGTGTCCTTGGGACGTCCATTTATATTGTTGTTCATGGGATGCTGTCCCTTAAGATGCTGTGAATTTGAGGTTGTGGGAATCTATCCAGGGTAAAAGAGACTTGATTAGCCAACCCCTACAAGATGCATTAACAGAGCTATGGAAGCTTAAAAGATCAAGATGAGGGAGGCATATCCGTCTTCTTTGAGGTGAGAAGATGCCAATCGGCACAACAAACTGCTGAGTGCGGTCGTTATCAATGTTAGGTGCCGACCTGAATATTTCATTATCAATGTTGCTCTGTATAGCTTAAGTTCTAAAGCAAATTAGTGCGGTGGATGACAAAATCTCGTGCCTTTGACTTCAATTTTCTCTCTGAAATATGAATCGGAAAGGGTAATTGCAAATAGAGAGAGGGCTATCTTAAATAATTTTTTCAGTTATCAGCTTTATATCAGATGCCAAAGGAAACTAAACACATGTTGGTACAAAAACTACTGGGTTCATTGTAGTGGCGAAGAAGGATAAAAGGCGACGATGTGTAGGGCCCGTTCCACGAATTTGTGTTGAGAAATGAGCTGTGCCCGCGGTTCTTACTACAAAGGCCCTTTCCTTGCAAGCTTCGAGTAATTATGCGTTTCAATGTTATAGGCTACAGCCCAATGTTGTGAATACCGATTTTAAAACTTTATAATCATTATGCCTTCCTATATCCAAAATCTATGGATAGTATACGGATATCAAAATCGAATTATCCAACTTATTTGATTCGATCCGTATTTTATAATAATATTATTAAATATAGGGTAATTTGATAATTAATTTATATTCATGGTCATTTTGAAAAAAGAAAAAACTACATTAGGGTTTTTTTAACATCTGTCACCTATTTGTCAAAAACTCAAATTTCTCCGCCTCCTCACTTCCTTTCTCTTTCGTAGTCGTTCTTCATCATGTTTTTCACGGTTTTTCGTTTTGTTTTTGGGAGATTCTCTTTCGCTACTTTATTTTGATTCTCCAATGAGTAGATTTTGCATTAGGGCTAGAGATTATTTGTTTTGCGTTTTTTTTTTCCTTCGGAGCCACTGATTCTCTTCCGTAGATATTTTTTTCTGGTTTTGTTGTAGTTCATATATATATATATATATCTCCCTGTAGGAGGAACGTCTCTAATTAAGTGTCGTATATCTCTTGATTCAAGTTAAATTTTCTCAATCGTAAGTTACATATATATGATTGAAATATATAAAACTTTTATAATCATCATATATATAATTCACCCATCTGGACACGTATTTGATTCATTTCTTCAAAAACCCCAAATATGTCTATGCATTCATTGAGAAATTCTCTACTTCACAACTTTAAAAGCGGTGTTACCCGCATCACACATGGACGATCGACGACACAATCAATGAAAAAGGAGAGCTCCATGGTTGACCACATAGAATGCTCCCCGACGGCGGCACGCGCTTCCGATGGCCTTCCTCGCCGACTCGAAGCTTGCTGGACAGATCGACGGTCGGAATTCGAGCAGCATCCTCGGTATTACGGAGTTTCGGTCGAAGCTCCAGTGGCTGAACGTACAGCGGAGGGATCTCCGGAAACCCTCCTTTCACCACCATTTCCACTCTCCATGCCGTTTCCACGGTGATCACCGACGCCAGAGGATCCCTAATCCTCGATGGATCTGCTTCCAGGGTTTTCGCCGCCGTCGATCCTTAATTTTTTACTGGGTTAGAGAAAGCCCATTAGAAGTCCATATATAGATCATTTTGGGCCTTGAAGCTACAACCACCGCGCACCAAAATATCTCCCCGTGACGTGGCCCCTTTTTTTTTTTTTTTTTTTTTTGAAAACAAATCTTGGAAAGATTGGGTGACAATTGAGAAATGAGGAGAGTGAAGGGTTAAACCTAAAGTCTCATGTAATGGAGTTTCAGTTTATTTCCAAGGCCTTTCGGTTGTAGAGGAAATAATGATTGTTGGAAGATAGAGCCTTGTTAACTTGTAATCTTGAAAAGAATATAAGACCAAATGGTGGTTTTGATATTTTTTTCAGCAAAAAAGAAAAGAAGTAAAATACAAATTTTAAAAAAGTAAGCAAATCATTTGGAAAATCTGCAGTCGAGCTGGCTCGATGCTGCTCAGCCCAATGCACCATCATCACTCAGTGACTGGGTTGGACTTTCGCTGGACTCTCTCTTCTCTCTCGCAGCAATGAAACCTCTCTCAACTGCTACATCTTTTGGATCTGCTTTCCCGTCTGCGTAAAGGCAAAGACTCATCTCCAATCATGTCTGTAAGTTGCCATTTTCTTCTCTAACCGCTTCCACAGATCTCGTTTTACGAATGCATCTCTCTCTCTCTCTCTCTTCTCTTCAATGGTGTTGCATTTCTAGGTTTCTATATTTCTGGTTCCATAGTGATGTTGGTTTTCGATCAATTCGGTTGCAGTTGTCTTCGTAGCTGAAATTGCATAGATCTGGGTGTTTCAATTCGAGCTGAATGGAGAACAGCAATCTTAGCCTTCGCTTTCGCAAGATTTCTCGACAGCCTGTTGCGCTTCCGAAGCTTGATCCCTTGGTTTGTCTCTCCTTCTTCCCCGTTTCTACCTGTCCTACCTTATGATGTTCCTCCGTAGATCGTAGTTCAAGTTCAAGCTCCTGCTACTAATGTGCCTCACTTATCTTACTCTTCAACATGTTATTCTCATTTTCTCCTGATGTTTCCCCTTTTTCGGTTTAGCTTGATGAAAATCTGGAACAGTGGCCGCATTTGAGCCAACTGGTCCAGTGCTATGGAACTGAATGGGTCAAGGATGTGAATAAATATGGACACTACGAAAGTATTCCACCTGCTATCTTCCAGAATCAAATATTCGAAGGTCCCGACACTGATACTGAGACAGGTTACATTGCTCGACCTTCAGTTTGTTTCTGCATCTGCATGTTTTGGTTGAATCAACTCTCACTGGGTTCATAAAAAAAAAAACTCTCACTGGTTCTGCATCTCCGAATTTCTATAGAAATCCGTCTATCCAGTGCCAGGAGTGCAACATTTGATGAAAATGTGACCAGCACATCGGGGAGGCATTTTGCTGATCCTGGCTCTGCCAAGGTAACATTGGCTCCGTGTTTCCTCCAGATATGTAGCTGGAACTTGGTTTTCCCCATCATTACCCTACTTAAGCCTAAAGCATCTATCCCACTCAGATTTTTTCTCATTCATCCACTATTTTCTCGGGATGTGTTGCTTAATTGCAGCATTTTGGACAACCTCCCCTCCCTGCTTATGAACCAGCTTTTGACTGGGAAAATGAGAGATCTATGATATGTGGCCAGAGAACTCCAGAAACTCTTTCAGCTCACTATTCCAGGTTTTGGTGTATCATAGTGCTTTAGCTATTCTCTTCTCTCACCTGAATCATCTTTATCTGATTTATCTTTTCTTTTCTTCTTCTATCTTCTCAGTGGATTGAAGATATCTGTTAGAGTTTTGTCTCTATCTTTCCAGGCTGGCTTAGTTGGTGAGAATTCTGACACTGTATGGCAAATATGTTTCCCCCCCCAATTTTTGGCTATCTTAGTACCTTTTTTTTTTGGTCCAACCTTCTATTGGAACCATGCAGAACCATTTTATGGCTCACTTTCATTGTACAATCAAGAGAGAAAAGAGAAGCTGTCAGAAGACTTTTATTTTCACAAGTTACCGACAGAAATGCAGGATGTAAGTCACTGAGCAAATTTATAGGCCCTCTTTTCTTCTTTGTCTTATCAGAATTACACAAATTGATTTGAGCTTTTGTTGTTTTTACTCGCTGAGTTTATTATGAAAATGCTGTCCATTACACATTTATTGCAGGCGAACACCTCGTCTGACACTCGTGGAGTCTTCTATCTAGATGCCCCATCAGCATCAATTCATCTGCTGATCCAGTTGGAAAAAACAGCAACAGAGGAGGGAGGAGTTACCACTTCTGTCTATTCCCGGAAAGAGCCTGTAAGCCCGAAATCTCTGAGTTTGTTCTTCTCATCTTTTAAGGTCCTTAATCATGTGAATTCCTTAGTCTACTTCATATCTTTTTGTTGAGAGATTTTGGCTATTGACCTTTCTTTGGAGGAACTTGGAGATGGCCAGTGACCTACAATGCATTGTTAAATATTAACCCATCTTTGCTGTGTGTTGTAATTTGAGCTATTGTGATGGTATCCACATTATATGCCAATTGCCCTTTTTTAGTATAATTAGTACCTTTCTTTTTTGCAAATCCATTTGAATCAGGTGCACTTAAGTGAGAGAGAAAAGCAGAAGTTGCAAGTCTGGTCCCGCATTATGCCTTACCGGGAGTCGTTTGCCTGGGCAATTGTTCCACTGTTTGATAATAGCATCACGGCAAACTCAGGTGGGTCAGCTTCACCTAGTAGTCCTCTAGCTCCCAGTATGTCTGGGTCGAGTTCCCACGAGGGTGTCATTGAACCCATTGCAAAGATCACATCGGATGGAAAGCAAGGTTATTCAGGTGGAAGCTCTGTCATAGTAGAAATATCCAACTTAAACAAAGTTGACGAGAGCTATTCTGAGGACACTATTCAGGTATGATGTTATTTCTTGCAGTACCCACAATTGCGATTCCAAGATAATGAATGATTATCTTGCACATTGGTTATACTTGGATTCGCAAAACCAACTATGATGCTTGTTCCGTGCAATTTTGAAGTTACGTCTACTTGCTGTGCCAACTTTTTTCATTTTTTTCCTGAATTCGTTTATGATCCACATTTTGAAAAAATTTATGAACCTTAGGTCTTGAGACAGACAATCCTTATACAAGAGCCTAACGCTTTTTTTAGTATTTTACAAAATGCAATAGAGTTGTATGTGTTTTCTGTATGGGAGAAATCATTTGGAGCATTTGCTGAAAATAATACGTTTATCGGTGTTGGGTTAAGCAACTTGTCCCAGAGGGCAGATTTGAGAACAAGTAGATCTTGATGTTTCATTAATCAGCTTTTAGATATCATTTGCCCCGTTTCCTGTCTTCTCCATGAAGTCTATTTAGTTGCAGGTGTTTTTACCTGAAGACATCATGAAAGAAGAAGGTTGTAATGTTTTCAATGATATTCACTGACCATTGAATTTTCATACTGCCATTTATTTTCCTTTACATAAATCCTTTCTGTTCTGAATTGCATTGGGGTAGTTCATCAGTCAAAAATAACTGCCAGATTTTTGGTTGATACAGTAGCTTCAATCTATTGATTGCTGTTTAAGTTTGGCTGTGTGGCATTTAGGAATGTACTATTGTCTTATTATTTTATGATATATTTTACAGGACCCTAAACGCAAGGTTCATAAACATGTTAAGGGGGTTATAAGACTCGAAATTGAGAAACACCAGAGTGGACATGGTGACTTTGAGAATTTGTCTGAAAATGGCAGTTTGACAAATGACTATTTCGATCCGACAGACCATCTTGCTGACCTGACACCTATGAAGTGTCCAAGTACTGGTTTTGGTGGACCTCGAAGTAGTTGCTCCAAGCTGAATTTTGAGGATACAAAGGAAATACGAAGAGACACTACAAGTGCAAGTGGAAGTCTCGACTTAAATTGTTATTATGTAAGCATTATAACTTCATCCTGCGTCCTATTGTTTCCTTCATCTATTGCTTTAAAGTGTCGATTTCATTCTTCAGCTTGTCTCCTTTCATGAGAAAGTTTTCTCTTTATGATAGTCAGCCCTATCCCTGACAATGATTCACTAAAGCAGGCAGAGCTAATTAGGCCTTGGTAACTGTTTTGTTTCTTAACGATTGCTTAGATTAGTGATTCCTTTCATATCGGGTAATTTTTAACTTGGTTTGAGGGGATAAGAAATCAAAGAACGTGATATCTCTATAAGCATGGCTGGGATGCTGGAAAGTGTACTAATTATCGTCTTCTGGTTCCAGGCTTTTGATTTCTGCGCTACAACAAGAAATGAGCCTTTTCTGCATCTTTTTCATTGCCTTTATGTGTATCCCTTATCTGTTGCTTTGAGTCGGAAGAGGAATATTTTCATTCGTGTGGAACTAAGAAAGGATGATGCAGATGTCCGTAGTCAACCGTTTGAGGTAAATGTGATTGCGAATGTCACCACTCTTGGAAAAATTGTTTTCCTGCCCTGTCTTTAACTGTTTCATTTGTACTTTTTAATTTGGCTAGGCAATTTATCCAAGAGAGCCTGGTGTGGCACTCCAGAAATGGGCTCACACACAAGTTGCTGTTGGAGCTAAGGTTGCTAGTTACCATGATGAAATCAAAATTTCCCTTCCTACCACATGGACGCCATCTCATCATCTATTATTCACTTTCTTCCATATTGATCTCCAGACAAAGCTTGAAGCTCCAAGACCAGTAAGCTTTACATCAGTTTTATGTTTGATTCACAATTGATGAATCTGGTTTCAACATACTTATCAGTTATCGTATTTTATGCTCATATTTTTAGGTGGTGGTTGGATATGCATCACTTCCACTATTGACATATATCCAGTACGTATATGAAATTAGACATTTACCTTTTGATCAATGGGATCGCAACTTTCCTTGTTGTTTATGTCATATGGTGTTATTTCTCATCTCTATACAGAAGATGCTGGTATGTAAGCCCATAAAATTAAACTCTGATGACACTGAACCTTTTAACTGGAATGTTATATAGCATCTGATGATATCTGAAACTTAGTATGACAAAAATTTGCTCTTCCACTGATATAGTGGTTGGTTCTCAATGCAGCTCACGCTCTGAAATTTATCTTCCGGTCGTGAGGGAACTGGTTCCACACTACCTTCAGGATAACACCAAAGTATGTTTTCATAACATGCAATATGTTGCAAATGATGACAATAGCTCTTTCTCTCTCTGCATCCATGTTTCAATATCTATCATATCTTTCCTACAATGCTTGTGCAAGATGGATGCTTAGTTACTATTCATCAGTGGTAGGCGTATCGTTTGCTTCTCGTTAGGACATGTTTGTAACTTAGATACTTCTTCCAAATAGTAACTTCTTAAACCCTAATATAGTGTGAAGATTATGGATTTCGAGGTCTTTAGATAATAGAAAAGACAATAGCAGAATAGAATAAAGAAAAATGTTAATAATGATATACTGATATAGTACGATAAAGACTGGACTGAGAAATCAGATGTATGACTGATTAAGGTCCAGTCACCTGCCGGCATGAGAAACTTTGAGGTATCAACATTTAGCACAATGCTGATAATCATATATTTTATTCTTGATCTTTGAAATAATTAAGTTATTCTTTTTCTAGGCAACCTTTCATTTTTTGCTCCAAACAAGGAAATTAATAATTACAACCTTATATACTCGTCAACATGTCTCTAGTTCAAAATAACTGGGGAATGATGTTGGTTTAATTATTGTAGGAGAGGCTGGATTTCTTGGAAGATGGCAAGAATATTTTCAAGTTGCGACTGAGACTTTGTTCATCGTTGTATCCCACTAATGAGCGTGTTAGGGATTTCTTTCTAGAGTATGATAGGCATACCCTCCGGACAAGCCCACCTTGGGGTTCAGAACTGCTGCAGGTATTCACATAAACTGAGTTTCGTCTTAATTCTTCTCCGTTACTTTCTCTAAGTTATTATCTTCTGCTGTTATACTCTTTTGCCCTTTTCTTTTTCAGTGAAAATCACCGATATGCCCCACCACACAATATGCATGTTTTTGTGTGTATATGTAGATATGTACATGTGCGTGTATATAAGTATGGATTCTCGTTTGGTACTTTGGTGTGGATACCTTTCTGTTATAAGAAATTTGAAACATTTGCAAATGTTGGTGATGCTAGCAAGTTGAACTCTGTAGTGATGACTGATGATGCGACAAGGGATCATCTATTGTAGGATCATCTGGGTCTGGATTCCACTTCTCACATATTGCGATCTGCGTCATAAGGGTCTTAAGAATTGAAAACAATACAAATTCCAATGGTTCTCACTCGATTTGTCATCCTCAGAAAAGAAGCTAGTATAAGATGAATTCTAGAAGGATTAAAAGAAGATTTATAATCTATATTCTGAGTCTATAACATGATCCATGGCTGCCTTGTAGGCTGTTCCATGCACGCTAACTCGTCTTTTATGGTTGGTTATCATTGAAACTTTTAGGGTTTTTGATTGTGCTACTTAAAAGTTGTATCAGATTTTTGGAGTTGATTAGATGTGTACTTTATGATACATTGTTACCGTAATTCCTTATATTAAGGAACAACTAGGGATTTCATGCAACTATTATTTTTTATGTGATCATTATACTTACAGGCAATAAACAGTTTGAAGCATGTCGACTCCACTGCTTTGCTTCAGTTTCTTCACCCAATTCTTAACATGCTCCTTCATCTTATTGGCAATGGTGGAGAGACTCTTCAGGTTTTTCAACTAAAATTATCTGCTTGCTTTAGCATGACACCATTGTTCTGTGCATTGTTAATTATGGTCGACTATTGTCCATGGGTTCAGGTGGCAGCATTCAGAGCCATGGTGGATATTTTAACTCGGTACGCATTTACCTGTATTTACCAATCGAATTTAACGCTGTGATCTCTAGAGTTGCAAATATTTTGCAGTGATCTCTAGAGTTGCAAATATTTTGTGCGACTGGGCCCTGCAAATCAACAAAAACATGCCTCTTGTCTGTAAACATTTTTCCGTGAAGTCATTGGTTTTCTCATACAAGATCTTGGATTTGTTTTTATAGGGTGCAGCAGGTGTCATTTGATGATGCTGACCGAAATCGTTTTCTGGTTACCTATGTTGATTTTTCTTTTGATGACTTTGGAGGCCGTCAGCCACCGGTTTATCCTGGTTTGTCAACTGTTTGGGGAAGTCTAGCTAGAAGCAAGGTATTATGCGCACATGTGCCGTTTACAACACTACCAGTGTCTTCGTGATATTTGCTCCAACTCTTGAAATTCGTTGCGAATTCATTTTGTACTCATTCCGTATTCGAATGAGAATATCTCTGTGTTACCTGTTTGGGAAATTGTCTGCTGTGAAATATCCCACTTTTTTTTTTGGTTGGTTGTTGAACAGTATGAATGGGCTGTGCAGGCTAAAGGTTACCGTGTTGGACCTGTATATGACGACGTTTTATCAATGGCTTGGTTTTTCCTTGAGCTAGTTGTTAAATCAATGGCATTGGAGCAGGCACGTCATTTTGATCATAGTCTACCTTCAGGTATGGTGGTACTATCCTGTTTGCATCTTTCTATTGGGGTTTCTTAGTCTGATTGGCGTTTAATGCTGTTTTGAGAACTTGTTTATCCTTAAGAAAGACAAAGAAATGTATAACTAAAACGTCCCAAATTAATCATGCCTTTTTTTAAAATGGGTGCTTGTCTGGAACTCAGAGTATTCAAGCTATTGATTTGCGCAGAAATCAGCCATACTTTTCATATTGACTGTAAAGATGAAACCTATCCTCAACCTTTGTAAATCTAAAATGCTTCTCGAACTGTGTATCTCAGCTCTCGTGATCCTAGTAGACTCTTAATTGTGATTATGCCCCCTATCCATAAGTATTTTTGTCCATGAGAAAGAGTACCAACAGTTAAACCATCATTATCATTTCTGGTTTGAATATTACAGACCATTTTCACAGCTTGAATTTCCTATGAGATGCCAATATTTGGTTAAAGTCACCTGAAATCAAATACCCGTACCGATCAGTTATCATTCCATTGTATTACGTTTTCAGTGCTTGCATTTATGGAAAAATATTTGAATGTTAAAGCATGACTACTGGATGTTGTTCTTGATGCTTAGCTGTGTCGTGGCCTCTGGCCTCTTAAAAGCAATTACATTCAATGAATCCTCCATATTAGGTTACCTTGTTGTATCGGCATTTGAAGGGATGGCTTTTTAATCACTAGCTTTAGCAACTTGTAATCTTAACATGTGTTGTGTTCTATTGTTTTCTGTTATAGGCGAGGATGTTCCACCCATGCAGCTCAAAGAAAGTGTCTTTCGTTGTATCATGCAACTATACGACTGCCTTTTAACTGAAGTACATGACCGTTGCAAGAAGGGATTAAGCTTGGCAAAACGTCTGAATAGCAGTTTGGCCTTCTTTTGTTATGATCTTCTATATGTCATTGACCCACGCCAAGTTTATGAACTGGTATGTTTTGTGTGGGATCGTATTTTGTTTGTGTGATATCTTCTAGACATTCTCATGCGACAGCAATCATGTTAACTAATATTCTCAATTTTTGTTTTAGTATTACTTAGAGGCAATTGCGTTAATTCCTGCATTTAAGCTCGTTTCTTTTAGATTTGTTTATTGGTAGTCTTTGAAATTAAATATAAAGTTCAAGCATAATCATGACTCTACTCATTAAAGTCAATGTTTGACAGATATTCTTTCTTGCTTTTATAGTTTGACAGAATTTGGATCATTTCTCGCATTTTACAGGTATCACTATACATGGACAAGTTTTCTGGCATTTGCCAATCTGTGCTGCATGAATGCAAGCTTACATTTTTGCAAATTATCTCGGATCATGATCTTTTTGTGGAAATGCCTGGAAGAGATTCTTCAGACAGGTGCTCAGTCCCAAAAACTTCATTACCTGGTTATTCAGTTTGACATTGCCAGTTATTGCCTGTGGGCAAACATTTCAAATCTTCCTTTCATAATGTTACAAAGAGAGATTGGTGCACTAGATGTTACATGGAAGGAAAGCCTACAATTAGCCTTCACAATCTTCTATCTTCATTTTTATGTGTGTGAGGGGCATGCAGATGTGATTGTGTATGAGTGCATGTGAACTCTATGATGTGTGTGTGACTATATATATATATATATACATACACGTTAATACCTTTCCTGCATCTTGTTTGGAACAAAATTCACTTTGGCTCAACCAACTTTACTTGTCTCTTCTAGGAACTATCTCTCATCCGTCTTAATACAGGACCTATTTCTGACCTTGGATCATGATGATCTGCCTCTACGGGCGAAGGTCTATTCTAGTTCTTTATGCTTTTACGTTCAAGGTATCTATCATGATAAAATCCTACATTGTTGGCCATACTCCTTTGGCATACCTGCAGGCTGCAAGAATTTTGGTGATCCTCTTATGCAAGCATGAGTTTGATGCTCGGTACCAGAAAACTGAAGATAAGCTATATATTGCGCAACTATATTTTCCATTTGTTGGACAGGTACATCACAATGGCTATGTTTCACCAATGACTGTATATTATGCACCTCAGTTTTAAAATCTTTCACGAGTCTTGTTTTCCAAATAGTAGGGCAGAAGCTAGGACTCAACTATAATTCCCTCAAGTATATCATAAATACCCCTTTAGATAAAAATAAGAAATTTGCTATGAGGAATTAAGTGAGGTGGCAACAACATCCTTTGAAGGGAAGTGACAAATATATCTCTTAAGCGGGGATGGGCTGGTATATTTGTCCTCACCTGAGGATTACATTACAACTGACTTCTTGTGTTTTTTGTGTTTACCTTTTATTTTTGCAGATTTTAGATGAGATGCCTGTTTTCTACAACCTAAATGCTACCGAAAAGCGTGAGGTTTTAATCGCTGTTCTGCAAATTGTTCGTAATCTGGATGACACATCTCTTATCAAAGCATGGCAGCAGAGCATCGCTCGGACTAGATTATTTTTCAAACTCATGGAAGAATGCCTCATACTTTTTGAGGTTCCTTTCTAACAAACTTTTAATTATTCGAATAGTGATAAGTTCTTTAAATTTCAATTGCTATGAAGCGAAGAAAAGAGTAACTGTTTTCCATGCCGCTTTAAAGTTTGATAAGGATGGTTAATGGTGGCTGATTATCCCCTATAGATAAAGTACTCTGGCTCAAAGGGAATATACAAAAGTTAGGATTGTGTTCCCTTTGTTCCATCTTCTTCCATATTTGTACTTCAATCACTGCTAACAATCATAACTGTCTCATAACTGTCGCATGGTAAAGCTATAGGTTACACCCCCTGCTCCGCAAGTTTCACCTTGTCCTCAATGTTAAACTGAGAGACTAGCTTAATATTCTAAGTGTTGCAGTCTTTACAATTATCAAGACTCCTGTGTGGTTGTTCTTTAATTCGACATGAATAGAATCTGCTGATTTTCTTGGATCTTTTCTGTTAATTACTGTACACGATTATTTTCTCATTTGTTGGTTTCATAGCTTTTGCCTGTTACATTAGAATTTGGCTTCACTTCATTCTGTCCAAGTGGTAGAATTATGAGCATCACTCTACTGGGTGAACTTTGTTTGGATTCTTTTGACAAAATCGTTATGCTTGTATCATCTATTTATAGTTTTGGAATCTATTGGAAATTGAATAATATTGATTTACCACAATTCTCAGCATAGGAAAGCTACAGACAACATGCTTGTGGGCAATAATCCTCGTGGTCCTGTCAGTGAAGGACCTGGGTCCCCAAAGTACTCGGAGAGACTTTCTCCTGCAATCAGCAATTATATGTCAGAGGCTGCCCGGCAAGAAGTGAAGGTGAGTTGTTGGATTCATCTTAGCAGTTTGTCCCTTTCGTTCACTGGTTTGCAAAAACTCACCACTTCACTTATGGGTTTACCGCCATCTGTAGTAATCTTTTTGAAAACTTTGTTGCCAAGTCATTGGTTTTAGCATATTAAGAGTTAAATATAGTCAAGGGCTCAAATAGCTTTGGTATTTTAACTGCAGCTTGAGGGAACACCTGACAATGGGTATCTGTGGCAGAGAGTTAATTCTCAGATGGCCTCTCCTAGCCAGCCTTACTCTCTTAGAGAAGCTTTGGCTCAGGCGCAATCATCACGGATTGGAGCTTCAGCTCAGGCTCTGAGAGAATCTCTGCATCCTATTTTAAGGCAAAAGCTGGTATAGTTTTCTGTTGCAGTTCATGCTTTCTCCATGACATGATATGTCAGAGCTGACATAATCATCATCAATAAGATATTCTTAATTCATTCTATCTGATTCTGCTTTTAAACTACCAGGAACTTTGGGAAGAGAATTTGAGCGCCGCTGTTAGCCTTCAGGTTTTGGAAATTACTGAGAAGTTCTCGTCATTGGCAGCCTCTCATAATGTTGCTACTGACTATGGGAAGTTGGATTGCATTACAACAATAGTCATTAGTTTCTTCTCCCACAACCAGTCATTAGCTTTTTGGAAAGCCTTCTTTCCCGTGTTCAACAGGATCTTTGATCTTCATGGGGCCATACTGATGGCAAGGGAGAATGATCGCTTCTTAAAACAAATTGCCTTCCATCTTCTCCGCCTTGCTGTTTATCGAAATGACAACATCAGAAAAAGGGCTGTCACTGGTCTTCAAATACTTTTAAAGGTGAGAGTACAGAGCCATATAGACACTTCTTTGGTTCTTACTAACTCACTTTAGCTCTTGCTTTGTTCCTGCAGAGCTCGCTCTATTTTATGCAGATTGCTAGACTGAGGGTGATGTTGACCATTACACTATCAGAACTCATGTCGGATGTTCCAGTGACCCATGCGAAGACAGATAATACATTAGAAGAGAGTGGCGAGGCACGGCGGCTTCGACAGTCATTAGAAGAAATGGCTGATGAAGTTAAGAGTGCTGATTTGTTGAGGGAGTGTGGCCTTCCTGATCATACTCTCTTGACAGTTCCACACAAATTTACAGATAACCGCTGGTCATGGGCTGAAGCGAAACATCTTTCCGACAGTCTTATTTTGCCGCTTGATGCTAGCCTTGAGTATGCACTTCTGGTATGGTTTATCTTCAATTTTTCATTTTTAAAGACAGTACAGTTGGAGTCAGTTGTGGGATGAATGTCTTATGCTCGTATTCCTTGTTATATTATGGGAGATCCGTTGCTTTCTCAACTCAATGCTCCTCCCTGTGATAGCCACTTAAATTATTCTATAGTGAACATGGAAACAATATGTTCAGGGAATCATGCTGATGGTTCTCTTCTCTGTGAATCGAGGTAGGATCTGATTGGACCCAATATTGCACTGACCAACGATATCTTCCTTGTCAAAACTGTGTAGAGCCTCATTCCAAATAGGAGAAATGGTTATGGATGTACTTTAGTTGACTCTTCTCCTTTCTCTTTTCTGTGTTTCTTTGCATTACAATCACTGACTTCCTAACGTGAGAAAGCCAGGAATAACATCAGAAGGTTAATTTAAATAATGCACGAGTGTCTTGACATAAGTGTTCTACAGTAATTACCAGTATGCCTTTTGATCATTACACGGTCCAGTCTGGCCTCAAAACTTTTTTCCCCTGATCTTTGGTGCTGTTTGTATAGGGAGTAGTTAATTTCTGATGGCACCTTCACCTGACATTTTTTTTTTGTTGTGGTTCTTCAATATGGTAAGATCTTTACATATGTCACTTTTCTTGTAGGCATCTGTGATGGCATCAGACAGATATACTGCGGCAGAAAGCTTCCATAAACTTGCAATGGCTTTTGCTCCTGTTCCAGATCTTCACATAATGTGGTTGTTGCATCTCTGTGAATCACACCAGGAAATGCAGTCCTGGGCTGAAGCTGCGCAGTGTGCTGTGGCTGTTGCTGGTGTTATAATGCAGGTAGCGACTTTACTGTATCCCAAATGTGGTATCTTTATGTGTGTCCTTGGCTATTTTCCTATTGCATATAGTCTGGCACAATGGAGATGTTATCGTCTTTGCTGTCTAATTATCCAACAATTATCGTTTCCTTTCCTTTTTGAACCTGAGTATTCATTCAATTTTTCCATCCACTAAATGTTGCTATAATTGTTGTTTTGTATCATTTTTCCCTCTCTTCCTCTAGGCCTTGGTGGCTAGGAATGATGGTGTATGGAGCCAGGATCACATGGCTGCTTTGCGCAAAATTTGCCCTGTGGTAAGTGCGGAGTTTACTACAGAGGCATCTGCAGCTGAGGTAGAGGGTTATGGCGCTTCAAAGCTGACAGTTGACTCCGCTGTCAAGTACCTACAGCTTGCTAATAAGCTTTTCTCTCAAGCTGAGCTCTACCACTTCTGTGCTAGCATTTTAGAACTTGTTATTCCAGTTTATAAGAGCAGGAAAGCTTATGGGCAATTGGCCAAGTGTCATACATTACTTACTAATATATATGAGTCCATCCTGGAGCAAGAATCAAGCCCGATCCCGTTTATTGACGCCACTTATTATCGGGTGGGATTCTATGGTCAAAAGTTTGGGAAACTGGACAAGAAAGAATACATATATCGTGAACCACGCGATGTACGGCTAGGTGATATCATGGAAAAACTGAGCCATATATATGAATCTAGGATGGACAGCAACCATATTTTGCACATTATTCCAGATTCCAGACAAGTGAAGGCAGAAGAACTGCAGCCAGGAGTGTGCTACCTGCAAATAACAGCTGTTGATCCAGTCATGGAAGATGAGGATCTTGGCAGCAGGAGGGAGAGGATTTTTTCTCTCTCCACTGGAAGTGTCCGAGCTCGTGTCTTTGATCGGTTCTTGTTTGATACCCCGTTTACGAAGAATGGCAAGACACAAGGTGGATTAGAAGATCAATGGAAAAGGCGAACAGTACTCCAGACAGAAGGTTCATTCCCTGCCCTGGTAAATAGGCTATTGGTTATCAAGTCTGAATCTCTCGAGTTCTCACCGGTGGAGAATGCAATTGGAATGATAGAAACCCGAACAGCTGCTCTAAGGAATGAACTTGAAGAGCCTCGTAGCTCTGAGGGGGATCAACTCCCACGCCTTCAGAGTCTGCAGAGGATTCTGCAAGGAAGTGTTGCAGTCCAGGTGAGTGATTTTGGATCAAATTATCGTATGATTTTACCTTATTGAGTAAATATGACCATCGGACTTCTCATGAAAACGCAGGTTAACAGCGGGGTCTTGAGTGTATGTACGGCTTTCCTATCAGGTGAGCCTGCAACTAGACTGCGATCACAGGAACTGCAGCAGCTAATTGCAGCACTGCTTGAATTCATGGCTGTGTGCAAGAGAGCCATCAGGGTTCACTTCAGATTAATAGGTGAAGAAGACCAAGAATTCCACACCCAACTTGTTAATGGATTCCAGTCTCTTACCGCGGAACTGTCACATTTCATTCCGGCTATTTTGTCTGAACTTTAGAGTTTCCAATGTTTCTCCTGTTCTTTTAAGTCTCATTTTGCCTTTGATTTTGTGTTGTAGAATCTAGTTTCCTCCACCCGCCTGTATCCAAGTCATATCTTGTTGTATTTATCTGTATTGATCTTCCCCGTTTATATTTTGTGCCGTATGAACCAGTAGAATGTAAACCACAGTTTTGGAGGGCATTTTATGGACTAGGAATATTTCAAGGCAATGGCTCGGCTATGGGGAAAGATTGAACGTCTTTTCTTTTGTTCGTATTCAATGCATATTCAAGGTATTTCATTTTGGAATATTCGAATTGGGGGAGTAGGGGTGGTAAAAAAAATGGCGAGTTGGGTATTCAAAATTCGAGTATCTGGACATCCAGTGACATGAGATTGGAAATAATGTTTAGAAAATTTCGAATTTTGGATAATTTAATGTGAGACCGGTAATTATCCAGGTCCGAGTAGTAATAAATTTACAATTTTATCTTTAGATTTTAATTATTCAAAGTTCAAACCCTGTGCCGTTCCGATTTTCTAGTTTTCCGAGGATTTTCTTGTTTTTTTTTTTGTATAGCTCTTTTTGTTTTAGAAAAACAAATTGCGGTATACGTGTTCAAGGTGTGAGGACAAAAGAAACAATGGTGTGGTGGAAAGGACATATATTATATGGTGGTGAATTGAGGGTGTGAGGACAAAAGAAACAATTTATCGCCATGCACTTACATGAAAATGCAGGTTAACAGCGGAGTCTTGAGCGTATGTACAGCCTTTCTATCAGGTGAGCCTGCAACTAGACTGCGATCACAGGAACTGCAGCAGCTAATTGCGGCACTGCTTGAATTCATGTCTGTGTGCAAGAGAGGCATTAGGGTTCACTTCAGATTAATAGGTGAAGAAGACCAGGAATTCCACACCCAGCTTGTTAACGGATTCCAGTCTCTTACGGCAGAACTTTCACATTACATCCCGGCGATTTTATCGGAACTTTAGTAGCTGCCAAGGTTTCTCCTGCCCTTATAATCCCGTCATTTTACTTGTGAGATTGTGTTGTAGAATCTAATTCCTCTGCTCGCCTATATGTGGTTGTATTTATCTGCATGCATCTTCCCCGATTATATTTTGGGTGGAACCCGTTCAACACACTTTTTGAGGGTCTATTATGGCCTAAGCATGTCTGATTTGCGTCCCCGCTAGACCATGCTGGCCACCTTTTGGCCAGACATGTCGACTCATTGGACATTTTTTTTCAGGCCTATTCGTCATGGTGTTTTGTATTGTTAGATAAGTGTGGGTCTGGATACAGTGAGAAAGAACAACAAAACAATGAAATCGAAATAAAAAACGAAAGAACCCGGATATGATCCTCTAGGCGTGATTTCACTATAGAGAGATAAATATGTATTTTTACATGTGTATTATTAGGTTAACCTATTTGTATAAATACCTTCATATGTGATTAATAATACTAAGCTTCCTTTTATTGATTATATGGTATCAGAGCCAACCCTAATTATTTTGTCGGCGCCATCATCTCTTCTCGTCATCTCCACCGCCTAATCTGTGCAATATTCGCCGGCGCAATATGTCTTCTTCAAATATCTTTGCTGCGCATGACACCGAAGAAGTCACTACCTTTGATGCCCAATCTCCACAAAAGACATTGTTATTTGTCAATATGGCAAATATCACGAAGCTTACTTCCACAAACTTTCTAACATGGAGCATCCAAGTGAAAGCACTCCTTGAAGGCTACAAGCTAGACTGCTTTATTGATGCCTCTTCTGCAGTTCCTTCTGTCACCGTGACTACCGACGGTGTTTCTACCGAAAATTCGGCTTTCGGTCCTTGGAAACAACAAGATCGGCTTTTGTTCAGTGCCTTGCTGGGCACGATATCAATTTCTCTTCAACCCTTAGTTGCTCGGGCAAAAACTACCCTCGAGGCTTGGACCATCGTCACCAACACTTATGGGAAAGCTTCCCGCGGACATCTCTTGCAACTTCGTGATCAGATCAAGAGGAGTGTCAAAGGCTCTCAATCACTTGATGAATATCTTCGTTTCATCACGTCAAAAACCGATGAACTTGCTCTCCTTGGTAAGCCGATGGATCACGAGGATGTTCTTGAAGCTATCATGGATGGTCTTCCGGAAGAGTTCAAACCCGTCATTGATGTGGTCAATGCTCGGGACACTGCAATTCCTATTGACGAGCTTCATGAGAAGCTTCTCAATCATGAAGCAAAGCTGCTCCTTTCGTCCTCCTTGCCAGTGTTGTCATCGGCTCCTGTCTCGGCTAACAATGTCTCGTCGAGACCGCGCCATTCCCCTCGTCATCCTGGTCGCTCGAACTGGCCCCGAGGACCCTCTCCTTCGTCGTCTCAGACCAAGGGTTACATGGGTAAGTG